GCTTGGTATTATATTCATGGGTGTGAGTAGATTTTTTTTCCCGTGCATGTAATAATGAACGTCAGTAGTGATGATGAGTGTGTGTGCACGCGTGGGAGTATCACATTTTTCATAGTGTGGAATGATGTTAATGTAGGTGCATGTTAAACATATTATGTTAGCTTGTGTGTGTGTGTGTGTGTGTTTATGTGTGTAAGGAAGTCCATATGCATGCATGTGTACTGGTGTGGGGCGTGTTATGTGTGCAAGTAGATCACATTTCAAGAATGCACCACTGCATTTCAGTGCGTGTGTGTTGGTGTGTGCGTGCTGGAGGGGCTATGTGTTTTCTTGTGTGCGTGTCTTATGTGTACAGCTGAGTAGATCATATTTCATCAGGGACATAATGACTTAACAGTCTTGCATGTCCATCTGAATACATGCATGTATGCACACATACTGTGTGGGTGTGTTTGTATATTAGCAGACCTTATGTTTGAGGAAGCAAGGGTGCATCTTGTGATACTCATCTGCTAATTTGTATACGTGTATTTCAGTGTATGTGTGAAAAAGGCACAGGGAGCCCCCATGGAGCTCCAGGGGCTGCGTATAGAAAGCACTGTGCCTGCCATCACAACTCAAGGGCTCGTCGCTGATAAGATGTCTGTGCTTCTTAACTCACTGGTACATCAGCAGTCAGCAACATGGCTCCCTCTCACTGCACGCATGCTGAGTAAACAAGCCTGACCTCTGCACAACACCCACAACAACACCGTGGAGTGACAGTTATTATTACACATGACTTCGACATACAATAAACTGGAGTACATTTTAACAGCAATCTGTGATGCCTCCTGGTCTTAATGCTGGGGGAAATGTGTAATGTTTTGGGGGTGATATGTGGTCACAAGGAACTCATCACAGGAATCACAAAAGACAATTGTATGTAATGTGTAACCAGATTCATTGAGATTGAATAACCACACAAACTCATGGGGTTATCGCATTTAATTTCCATGCGTTTCAAGATTTTCCAGTTCCGCAAGGAAGTTCATTCAACCTTTTTTTCTTTAGCATTGACTTGGCTTGTGTGACAGTCTAATTAATTGACTAATTCAGTCTTTCTAGGCTTGTTTTTCAAAAGTGAAGTAATGTTAGAGCTACAACTAGCAGCGACGTGTGTGGTGTGACAGCTTTGTAGTTAAAGTTATTATGTAATTGACTTTTGAGCAGAGATTGACCTTAGAGTGTTGCTGTGTTGTTTGGTTTGTCATTGTCAAGAGTGTGTGTATGTGGAACAGGATTTAGAACCTGCTTGACTGAAAACAAAGTAATTAGGTTATAGGCATGCATTCCAACAGCATCAAATGAAAAAGAAAAGGGAAAAAAATAATTAAATATTTCCTTTGTGGAAGATATCTATTTTAATATTATTTACATCTTTAAAGTCCCCCTTCACTCAAAAATATGTTTTTCTTCTTGCTCTCACAGTGTGATGTTTGAGCTTCACAGTGCAGAATGATGTATGTACAGAGTTTGACACTAGAAGGAGGTTTTCACATTCATCTGCTGAAAGTTTCTCTGAGACTTTCTCTCTGTGGCTTACGAGCGTGATTTGTGACATCACAAATAATTTGGAACTTATTCAAGTGTAATGTAGAAACTTGAAGCTGCCACATACGCTGAGAATGGACTTTACGATCAAGTACGAGACGTCTTGTGTCCAGCAAGAAAACTGAAGAAATGAACACAATTTGCATATTCCTCAAATCTGGAATTTTTAAGGAGTTATGAGTGGATGCCTTTAAAAAAATAAAATATTCTGGAAATTATATATAGTCTCTATATATAGTCAACTCTCTGTTGTCTGGAGGGGATCTTTAAAAAAAGGGGGAAACTGCCTATAAAAGTCTGACAAATGTACATTGTATGAATGCAGTTTCATTTCTTTCAGGACTTTTCCACATGGGTTTTCCCAGCCTTAACCAGTGAATCAAGTTATTCACACTTTCATTCACTCATATTTTCTTGTAACTGTGCTCATTACAATAAGTTTTCACTACATTCCCACATACAATATTTATTTTCCTACAAACAGCTGACTGGGTGTTGCAACAGGGTGGATCAAGCAGGATGACTCTCCGGCCATCTAATATAATGACACTGGATTGGCAGACACTCAAATTACATCACCATCTATCACTGTGTCCCTTCGCTCCGCCATCACATCAACATTAGGCTGAATAAGTCAGGAAGATTGACGTTCTCGTACTCTTTTCGCACTTTTTGAGTCCTTAGCAGTAGCAACAACTTTTCGCTGATGAGACAATAGCAGATAGTTCCATTTAATGCGGGAGGAACCATTCTCCCGCGGGGAAGGGGTGTCAGGAAACACACAAAACACACACACGGAGGCGCCCAGGTAATATTTCATAGAGATTTCTGCAGTGCTTAAAACATCTGACTAACTTCATATCTTTAATGCCAAAACGAAATTTATCGGCGATATGCAAATAATCGCGGAGAGGAATCCCTGCCCACCCCTGCGGGACAGAATGGACTCGACCTACTCAATCATGCACTTCAGCATACACTGCAAAGAGCATGCTTTCACCTTTAGGATTGTCTATGCTTCTTGAAGTCACCCTGGATTATTCTTTTGGATAAAGCAGGTACGCAGAACTCCGATTTTCTCTCTTTTGTACGCATACACAGTGTACTGGACCACCTCATGTGCTTTGAACGGGCTGTAGGTGGAAGGCGACTGTCTGATCTTGATTTATAAATAGGTTACATGCAGGGAATTGGTGTGGTTGTTGATAAAAAAAAAAAAAAAAAGAATCTTGTGTGACCTCCTGTCGGTTTTCCTGTCAAGGTAACAGAGCCAGAAGTGCGTAAAGAGTAATGTACCATTTCTACTTTTCATTGACAATGTGTAACTTGCGGCAGTTTATTGATACTTGTGATCTATCCGAGGCATCATACTGTCAGGCTTTAAAAAGCTGCCTAAAAGTCAGTTATTCAAATTAAAACATGTAGGGAACAAACTGAGCACGGTCGGACTCCTATCCTCCGCACACATCCCCGGGGTTAAGCAAACTTTCCACCAGCTCACCATACTCATCTCTTCCTTGAGTAATTTTTTTTTTTTCGGACAACACACACTATCACCGGAGCAATAAACACACACATTTGTGGCAACCATAAAAAGTACACGTAGAATTTAAAAAGGGAAAGACAGCTCAGTGCACAAAACACCCTGGAGCCTGAAGAACAGCTTCTCCTCTTTTTTTTCTTTTTTTGTTGAAAGATTGTTTTATTCAACACGGAGACAGACACACAGGGTGGAGGTGGACGTTAGGGAGGGGTGGGGGGGGATATCCATATTAGGAAGTCGTGTCCTACATAATAGACACTGGCACAACTGCCACTGAGCAAGGCACAGGTGCCAGCGGCCGGAACGGCTCTTCTTGTCATTAGTATGAGGATCTGAAACCGCTGGAAGAGCTCTGGTGTGTGTCGCGTTTCTTCTTCTTTCAATCTCTGCGCCAATTCAAGCTCTCACAAGTCATCTGCATGCGGTGTGTATATATGTGTGTGTGTGGGTGTGTGTGTGTGTGTATTTGGGCTGAGGGAGGGGGGGCGGAAACATGTGGCGAGGGAGGAGGGGTTGAGTGTTTCATGTGTGTGTGATTGGGGGGTCTGTGCATGTAACTTTTTTCCCCCCCTCTCAGATGATGATGCACCTACAGGATGTGAGCCTGCTGTTATGGTAAAGGGATACAATGGGACTAAGCTGCGGCTGCGGGAGGGGTGGGTGTGTGTGTGTGTGTGGGGGGGATTAATGACGCCTTTTTTTGTGTGTTTCTTCTTAACTCTATTATCTGACGTGTACATACAGGTGATTGCGACCAGAATGCGGGTATTCTGTGGGCACGAGTCCCGATCACAGATAGTGCTATCTGTCTGTGTGGCACCAACATGTCTTTTTACGCACGAAACTCCCATTGCGCATGTATGGCGGTGGGGCTGCTGGTGAGCTGGGGACAGTTGTTCAGCGTCGCCTCCTCTCTTCTCTGGACACTTTAGACAAAAACACACACACACACACACACACACATATACACACACGGACACACCAGCTGATCCTGCTGATAGGAAGCGATGGAGACACAAACGAAACAAAGACACAGTGACGTGTGTGCGTGGACTGAGGTTTAGTGACAGGGACTAGGCCTACACCGCGGGGGCAAACTTTTCTGCTTCTCCTTTTTCGCCCTCGATCTTGTCCTCGGTGTTCACACACACACACACACACACACACACACACACACACACACACACACACACACACACACACACACAGGGCTTCTCTCCATTCACGGTGCGTTTAGGTGCCCCCACAGGCTCCGCCATTTCCATGATTACATTACATAGATAAAAAATTACCCTCATTAATATTATTATTATTTTAAAAGGGGGGAAACAGCTGCAGTCTTTGCTGTCACTTGGGAGATGTAGGATGATCACATGTGTTTCATCACAAGACAGAGCACTTCCTTATAGATGACTGAATTATGGGAAATGAAGTGGACATTATTGGTCCCAATCAGTGTTATTATGGAAAGTCAGATTTCACTACCAACACATGCAGTATAGCCTATGCATGAAAAAGATTACATTCTAATGTGAAAGGCCTAAACATATTATTAGTTATGTGTATTTACTTATATAAACAACAACTAGGGCTGTGGCTGACAATTCTAACTCTAAAATGTCAGACTATATTTCCAATATAGTACAATCATATGACAAAGAAAAGCAGAACATCGTCACTACAGAAGTTGGAACCAGTAAGTTTGGCACTGTTGTTAGAAAAACAGTTAATTGATCATCAAAATATAGTTGATGATCAATTTCCTTTCGGTTGACTAATAAATCAATCAACTAGGCTAATTGTTGCAACTCCATTATCAGCATATGAAATACCAGTTCCTTATAATAGCTTAATATTAACACCCCTAATATCCCACGATACAATGCCCCCATCTTGGACCCCTAATTGAATTTTAATATGGAAACTCCATCAGTCATACTTTATACTACTTCCCCCGAGTTTTACCACGGAATTCCTACATTTACCTCTCGAGTCGCGACATTTCCGACAACACCTGAAGGCAGCACCAGTGAAACGACATGAGACAAGAGAGCGAGAGAGACCCAGAGGAACAGCGAGGAGAGAGAGAGAGAGAGAGAGAGAGAGAGAGAGAGAGAGAGAGAGAGAGAGAGGGGAACCTGTACTGTTCTACAACACAAGGGAGACAGGAATTCGCCAGAGATAATAATAATTGTTGGCGATATTTGCAGAGTTGAAGCTCGGGTCGCTGTTGTCAGTCGCTGGAAGATACAGTGTGTCTCCTCTTTATCTCTGCTGGATCTGGACTCTTTACATTTGCTTTTGGAAAGCTGCACCGGTCTCTCTCTCTTCTTTTTTTTTTTTTGTGTGTGTGTGAGTGTTTGAGCCCAGCGGTGTTTTAACTGGTAAGGAAGTGACTGTATATCATGATTATTGTTTGTTATGTTGAGGATGCGTTTCGTCGGACTGCTGCTGTTTGGGCCGCTGCCAGTGCAATCTTTGGCTCTTATTAGACTCTTTGGTTTTAACCTAGTCATTTCCTTTTAAGAGTGCACTGAGAGGACTGATTAAGGAACGGGCAGCAAAAGTGCATGTGCTACAGCGGAGGTAAGGGTCATTTTGAGGAATGCTTGACTGATAGGAGAGTGGAACCTTGCGAGAAACAGAGCCACAGTAAATCTTGCGATACATTTAGGGAGGGTGCTATGCAAATACTAATAACAGTGTTATAAAGTAGCATGAGAGAGCTATAAACTTACTAAGCAGCAGCAAGAGTCCATAAGTGTAAATTATAGTTATCCCATAGATGATAATAGGAGGGGGAAAATCCATAAAGGTAAAGATAAGGTCACAATAAAATCTATTGGACATTAAAGATAGGTGTTACAGGATTGTTATTGTGATCCTCCCTTAGGGGCAGAATGGAGTAGTTATCAGGGGGAAGGAGATAGTTATGTAAAAGCACATAGTTTGCAAGGGGGGGCTGTATGCGTGCATGTGTGTCAAAACATGTTTATAGTTTAAGGAGTACATATGATAAAAAAAACAAAAAAACGTAGGCGTTGTCTTATCTGATGTTGTTGGAATTTTTTGACTTCCAGTAGTTGCCTGTGTAGGGCTGACTTTGTGTTGACACACACACACACACACACAGACACACACACACACACACACACACACACACACACTCTTCACTGTAATATTCCTGTTGTCACTTGTGTGTAGTACTTGAGTGAGTTTTACTCTACGGTGTTTTGAACTTCTGTGGATGTCTGAGTCAGTGCTTGGTGATACAAGCATTGTAATGAGTATTGCAGTAATAATCTTTTACAAACTCGCAGTGCTGTCGGGCTCATCAACAGTGAGTTTTCTGTACTTGACAGCATGTTCCCCCTCGCATTTGATTATTTTTTTTACTTTCTGCGGTGTACTGCTCTTTCTCTCTGGCTGCTTAAAGATACAGTATTTTCTCCTGTGTAAGGTCACGCACACACAGAAAGAGATAGAGAGAGAGGGGAGGGGAGGGAGGAAGAGAGACAGAGTGTTGTTTTGCAGACAGGATTACATTGTCTCCCCCATGTCAGATTTCAGACATTATGTTAAACATTTCTTCTACAGCCTGCAGCTCTCACTCACTGTGGTTATAGCCTGGGAGTGAGTACAACTGGCCACTACACAGCACAACAATAAATGAGCTAACTTCCCCAAATTGACTGTACGATAATGAATAGTTCTTAAGAGCGCCACCTGTTCTCTAGCTCATGAATAGGACCAGGAGTAGAGGTAAACACATGCAGTCAGTGAAGCTGGGGGGGTAAATAAATGCTTTTCTGAACATTTGAATTGATTTGTGTGTAGTGGCAGTACTGGCAGACTTTAGGTCATACTTTTTTTTTTTTTTTTTAAATGTCTCTTCCAAAACCACAAAGCTTAAATCTACCTGGAAGGAGAGCCTGTCTCAGATGCCTCATATTCACAAACTGATCCCTCGAGAGCTCACACATGACTCGAGTGAAGCTTTTTTGTATTTGATTGCCTTCCACCATTGTGCCTCTTTTCATACACTGAGTAAATGCTGCATACATTTGGCTTTTGTCAATAGAGCTGTTTGTCTTTTGTAAGCGTAAGCTTGTGTGCTTACTTTTCCATCCCCGTGCTTATCGTGATGAAACTTTCAACTCTACCATGACTCTTTATCTTTTCCAAAGACTTGACTGTTGTTTTTTTTAAGTCCCCCCCCACCCCATCCAATTATTTCCCTGTATCTGTGGGAGTAAAATTAGCAATTTCATTTTTTGTCTTCTCCCTTCAGAATGTGGAAGTGTTTTATTGGTGTGGCGAAAAACAATGAGGACAAGGCAGGGCTTTGTGGTGGCAGAAATGCATTTTTAACCCATGTGAATGAATGGCGCCTCACATTCCACAGCAGCAGGCCCTTTACTGAATGGCAGCACTAACTCGGCTGTTTTCATTACTCATTACTGCCTTGTGCCTTTTCACCATGGACATAGTCATTTACCTTCACCAACTGAGAGGGGGGTGCGACACTATAAAGACTATGTCATAGGTGATTTTTCTTTTAGGAAATGCTGCAGTGTTGGATTTTGGGAATTTTACTGATTAACGTTACTACTGAATTAGTCTCAGCACTTAACGTTAAAGCTGCTGTAATTAAAGGTGTATTAATAATGGGCCGAACGACTATGTGTAATGTGAAAGGTGTTGCTCGAAGTGATGATCCCACAGTGAATTATCACCCGCCATTGCAGCTCCCCTCAGCTCTACAGAGATTTATATATAGACTTTGTCTTGTTTGATTCAAAGCTAGCAACTAGCCAGCTTGTTGAAAGATCTTAACTCAAGTTAGTAACACACACACAGTGGAGCATTAATCAGCTAAGAACCAGATATTTCCCTCAGGGGTTGATGGAGACCACACCAGAGCTGAAAGGAGTGTGAATATTGGACTTGAATTCATCAGGTGGCCAGAAACACAACCCCAAATGAATGCTAATGTTGCTCCTTATCTAGTGGATATGTAAATGAGCCACCATTTGCTAACAAATCAACTTAAAGGGTGATGACTATGTCAGTGTTGTGTTTACAGCTTGTTTCTGCTGTCCCTTAATGCCACAAAATCACTGAATGTGGGTTTAAGAATAGTATACTGGGTTTATGATCTTGGTTAGCAAAGTCATCTTTAATGCATCTTTAATTTTTATTACCAGGTTTGGATTTACTCTTGTTATTAGCTGCATCTCCCTGTTATCATATCCCTGTACTGTTGGCTTCAGTGTCTAGATGTATGGTAGTAGAGATATTTGGAGTGGTTTTCTAATGTAATACCAACAAGTATTGGACCTGGTCTCTGTAGGTGGCTTCCAGCACCTTGTTGAATTCATGTCTGGAAGAGTTCCAGTTGGGTTGTACAAGCTTATGTCATAGACTGAATCCATTCAGTTCCTTTTACAGTGTAATTGCTACCCTGCTCTAGTCCTTCATCTCTGTCCAAACTATTCATGTTAATGTCGCGTCGCTTTGATCTCGAATGAATATGAGATAAACTAAAGGCATCAAGTCACAAGACAGAGGTGTTTTTTCTACTGAGTCAGTTAGGCTGAAGTCTTCTCTCAACTCTTCCATGTTATGCTTTAGATTGTATCAGTCTTTTCTGCATGAAAGCAAAGTATGTATGTATCTGCCTTCGCTGGCTTAAATAACTTTCTGTGGCATATTGAGGTTGGATTTTGGAGAGCAAACAACAAGTGCAAACCTATTTTAGCAGCTGTTCCTTTTTTGGGTATGAAACGAAAGAGTAAAAAAAAGTAAGAAGTGCTCCTCTGCTTTGCTGGTGGTCCAGACACACATCATTTTAATATGAGGTGTAGTGTCTATTCTGTGGTGACGGCATTGATTCCCTGCTGCATGGTGGGGGTTTCCACTCTGAAAGGGCAATCTCTCTGTGTTAGCCTAGAAACACCAAGCTCCTGGATTAAATTATAAATGAGCCCTCCATGGGAAACACGTTGCCTACTCAGAAGGAATTTACATGTCCTGTGAGTGTCATACCATAAATCTCCAGTGTATGTCCAAAAACATTCTTGGTTGTCCATTTTCTTGAAACTTTGGTAACAGGTGGGTTGTTAATCCCTTTATTTGGGTCACACCTGCATCCTCCCCACCCATATGGATCAATAGAGTCTGTGCCAAGCCAAGCAGCACTGCCCAGGTAGCAAAGTGTGAAGCCTGATAGCTGTTTAAATGAAACCCAAAGAAAATGATGTAGTAATCAGAGGATTAAGATAGGAGAGGGGTTGGAGTTGGTGGGGGGTAGGGGAGGTGCTTCTGGTGGGATTTAGGCACAGGGCCATTTTAGCCTGGTGGGGGGGGGGATGAGTGGTGTGCTGTGTAGGGGTTCAACTGTTGCGCATACTGATATTTTTTCGTTAAAAATGCTGATATTTTGTGTTGAGATTGTTATCACCAAACTTAACCATCATGACAAAGATTCAGTTTTTCACCAGAAGTTCACTGTTGCTCCGGTGGAAAACCCCTGTGAGACAGTATGCCATCATGGGACCCCAGAACACCCCGGTAAAATCCATACCTCGTCAATATTTTACCAAATCTTGTGATAACAACTAAATGTACAAAATAGACAAAATGCTTTTATTGAGAAATCCTTTAACAGACAAATCTGTTGATTTATTGGCATGGTTTAGGAGATATTCAGAAATGGAATCAAAGTCAATGAAGTGGTTTTGTTTACTGTAATTATTTAATATGGCTTCATACTGACTCAGAGTGCTTTGCCTTTATCAGGGTTACTAATAAAAAGACAGCCGTGTTATTTATGCAGGTCCTGTCATTATCCAAAGTGACAACAGCTGAATGTGGGTGTGGAAACAACCCACACTAATTAGTTGCAGCTTTTTTGGATTATATATTATAAAAGGCTACAGTATAAATATTATTACCACAATAGTGCAAATTGATAAAAAATGGTCAAACTGGGATCTACATTATTAGAACCAGTGAAAATGGAGCCACAGTGTGTAGTCCACACTGAATGTTGAAATAAGAACAAAGGGTACACCTGCTTGTCAGTGACAATTGAGTTGTGTTTCTAGGAACCATTTCAAGTCATTTAGTGTTGAGATCAATCGCAGTGATCGGCACACTTCCTAAATATTTTACTGATGAAAGGAGATGAGGAGGAGATGGAGATGAATGGTTACATTTACAGAGTTCAAGCTGAGACAATGTATTTTGATTCAGTGTTAGTTGCATTAGTGCAGGTATAATTTAACAAAAAGCATCTTCTGATTGGAATTTTCTTTCTATAACTTAACTGCATTAAGAATACATAAAAGGTTACAACTAGTAAAACCTTTTGTTTGTTCCTAATACCAACATGTTGGTGTGCAGCTATTCTAAATTATGAAGTAATAGGAAAGCAGTGCAAGTGTGTAAGGAAAGTGTTTGTGCTGAATCTCACACACGTAGGTGTGTGTCTGCAATATTTGCGGTTTGAGTAATTTTCCATTTTGTAAATAACCCCACTGACAATGTGCCTGGTCAGACTACTACTACTAGAAGCTGTACTAATAAATAATAATTTCATCAGCTGTGCAAAGGCTGAAACCATCACTTAAATCAGAGGTGGACCACACTGAGTGGCTGGTAATCTGATAATCAGGGTTTCATATCGACCCCATTTATCAGTGCAGCTCTGTTTGTATTAAGTGAGGACGCTCACAGCAGCCAGGGCCCGCAGTGATGCAAGCAGCTTTAGAGCTCCTCGTCAGTGCATAGATTTCACCAGTTGAATTGAATCGGATGTTTTGGGATGTTTTATAGAGAGCAGAATCTCAGAGTTCAAATGGAAGCCCATTTACTACATTACAAGCTGCGTTATCCATCACCGTCACTCATTTTGATTTTCCATCTTACACTTTATTGATGATCCGATGAAATAACACTCACGAGCACACAGCGCTGAGCTGAATGTGCTGGATTCATTAGCAGCACTTATCAGGTTTAGCTGACATAGTGATCATAGTTAATAGATTTCTGCCAGCGCCCATGAACCGATGCTTGGCATTGTTGCTGTGATTGCTGCGGGATTAAAGAAGAGAAATAAGCTTAGCTGGGAGAAATAGCCCAGAGAACCACGTGGCTGTGATTAGGGATTGAGAGAGAGAGAGAGAGAGAGAGAGAGAGAGAGAGAGGGAGAGAGAGGAGGAGAGAGCTGCCGGGGGAAGGAACAGCACTCTTTGTCCAGCCCAGATGTCACTGTAGTAGACTACCATTATTGATCCGCTACTTTACACACACCTCCTGCACACCACACACACATGCCCTCATACCTTAATTAGATAGCATTAAAATAGGAATTTAAAAAGGATTCTGTCAATTCAGTTACATAAACACCTTTTAACATTGATTGCCCCTTTACTTACACAATGGATGTCTCAATGTGCAATTCTTTTTCCTAAGATCATACAAAGCATGAAAGCAATGAACTATACCGGCCAAAAAAAGCTTTTCTTGCCTCTGCATTCTCTCTACCTTGTCTAGTATGTTAATCTCTCTGCAAGACTGTGGCCTTCTAATGGCCTCCTTAATATTTGATGGGCCACACAAACTCTGTATGGATGTTTTGGAGGGGTGACGACTGGGCTCGGTAGGGAGGGGACATGGCACCCAAACTTAATCCAAACTCACAGCAGCCCAGAGGGCATTAAGGGTGGGTGGGGGTTGGGTGAACTGTTTCCTTAGCAGAGAGGCTCCTTTTTAGCATTCACCATTCTGTTCCAGTTAATAAACACACTCTAAATGGGAATGAAGAAGTCTACAAATTAAATCAAATTAGATTAAATAGGTCTTGGATGTTACAAATGTGGGTTCTTTATTTATTTATTTCACAGGATGTGTTGCTTTGTTTGCAGCTGTTTTGGAATAAAGAGATGTTAGCATAGAGTGTCACCCTCAAACGTCAAGAACAGAATAATACAACATTTGCTTGCTAAGTGATTTCTGGGAAGTAGGGAGAAGGAAAAAAAGCCAGCAATTGAGGACTTAGTAGAAGAAAAACAGGTAGTTCTGGATAAGCACTTTAAAGTTATTGGCAAATATTTACAGCCTTTCATTTTCATTTTCATTTCGCTTTGATGTAAATATGTAACCGCTACCTACTCCACCCTTTTCAATGCTCACACAAAGTGTTGTCTAATCTCCCACAGGGAACCAGTGTTGTTACTCCATTTGAGTATGTAAACAGCTTTAAATGGAACAATCTTGCATGCCTGTTCTCCGCTTTCCCACTAGACTGTGTCCATCTCAACTGCCCCACATTCACATTGTTAGCATCATCTATTAGTCTGTAAATGTTTTTTTTCCTTCTCTTTTTTGAATGGAATGGAAGAGCGTGGATGTAGTTAGTGCAGATTGAAGGCCAGTGATGTTGCATGTCTGACCAACTCAGGGAAACAAGCTGGAAATGTCTCCAGGCTACTGCAACTAATCATTCAGCCCACAGAGGAACTGATCGTTAGCCGCTGATGTCAGCCTAACCTTGCCGCGATGCGTTTTAGTGAGTGTGTGTGTGCATGCACATGTGTGTTTGGGAGAGGGGGGTTCGGATGGATGGAAGTTTGGACTTTATCCTCTCAGAAATGTTTGCTTTTCTCATAATTATGGTGAAGAATGACATGATTCTTTTTCTCAATTATGGGATTACAACGTACAAATACAACAGTTATTAGAACAAATTCATACTCCCAAAGAACAATAAATAGAAGTGACCACATCGCTTTTTAAATGAGCAGAACTTTGGTACAACGCCGTTATTGACGTGCCTGCATGTCACTATTGTTTTGTCCTCTTTCTGTGGAAAAAAAAAATCCTGCTCTGGTAGGGCAAACCCACGCATATGGAAATATAGAGGGCAGTTTGACTTCTCCTTTGCTGCCAGAAGCAGTTGGCTGACTCAAAAAGAGTCAGAAGTATGAATAATACTAACAAGTGACCATATTTGTGTGACGTAAAAGCTTAATTATCAGCCAAATGAAAGAAAATCCAAATTGGGGCAATATTTGGGATACTGATAAGATGGGCTACTTTTGTAGTGAAGGGATAGAACAGGCATTAGGAGACATGGTATAGGGAGTAGTGGAGGAGCGCTGGCAGGGTCAAGCAGGTTTTAGGGTTACTGAGGACAGAGGTGAGGGGGGGAGGGTCGCCTAGGGGCTAATGAGCTCACCCCAAATCAACATGTGGATCAGAGATACAGTTCTACTCCAAGCATGCACGCAAGATAAATGTTAGCTGGATAACGCAGGTTGCAGGCCACGTGCATCCAGCATCTATTCTAAGGGGTTTCTAGCAAGGAAGGACTGAGGAAAAATAAGTAAAAGCCTTCTTCATCTTTTTATGTCATATGTATATAACTCCATTACACAGAAAGCCTGCTATAGACAAAAATAGCACCTCTCAATCACTTAAGCGTTGTTATGACTAAGTGATATACCTGACATTATGCTCTCAAGCAAACCATTTTTGTAGTTTTCTAAAAAAAAAGGCCACAGAAGATTGAAAAAGTCTTCAATTGAATTTATATATTTTCTTTTGCAGGCCATGGGAAATAATGATAGTAATGATAAAATGTTTTTGTATCTGATTGCAGGGAGGTTATACACCTGTTTTGTCAATGGATTGTGCTGCAGGAGGCTGTTTTTCACTCAGTACCATCAAATCTATTCACTGTCACTACTGCCAGCTACAATAGGTAGGAAGCTCATTGTCTCATAATGTGTCAATTTGAACAAAAACTTTAATTAATTAGTCATTTTTTAATCCTTCCATCCATCCATTTTATGCTGCTTATCCAGGTCTAGGGAGCAATTGATTTAATTAATTGTTGTTATAAAGGCCTTAAAAAGGTTAAATTGGATTTGATCAACTTTGCAGAAACCCTGATTGTGGGTAATGTAGGAATTGTATTTACCCTGTTAAGAGAAGAGACACCAGGTTTTTTACCTCGTCTGGAATTGAGCTACCACATTGTGTTTCCTGGGCCGCTGTTTGCTACCTCAGTTCCCAGCTGCCTCTCTGTCTGTCTGTTGCTCGGGGCCTTGCAGTCAACTACACAGGGAAGAAGAGACCAAAGACAGGGAGCTTTTTAGTACCCCTCCCTACCACCATCCCACCACCACAACACACACAACCCCACCGCCCCACATCTACCACCAGCAGCAGCACCACCACCACCTTTTTCCATTGGCTCTTGATGTTCTGTAAAGAATCCCCCAGCACACTCACACCCTCCCTTCAGCTATCCCCCTGGCCTCAGTGCCCTGTTCCCACATTGTATCCAGATGTGAGGAGGATAGTTGAGAGGAGGAAGGTAGGGGCCTCTGGTACAATGCCCTCCTCCACCCCTTAGCCCCAAATGCACCATCTAGCTAAACACATCCCAAGACTGGAGGTTTTTTCCTGTATTATGAGCTCAGAGCTAGAAACAAATGAGTGAGACATGCAGAGAAGATATCGTACTTTAATCTTATTCGCACACTTCAGACTCTCATTTCAGCATTCGCTGACATTTTGAGTTGTGCACGCAGGCACCAACATCTATATACAGCATTGTGACATCCTAGTGGCTCCTTCTATGTTTTTTTCCCTTTAAACTAAAAGCAAATAGATGAAATCTGTTGCTCTTGAAGGCGACTGGCTGTGATCATCTAATCCCTGGCTGTGGAACTCTATTTAAAGAGCATAGCTGCTAATCCCATCAGATTATACCTGACCAACTCCACAAAATCACCCAATTAATAGTATTAAGAATGGCCACGAAAGCCTGTCTCCCCTAAAAAACAAACCCCAATAACTCACACATAGACAAATCTGACCCATGTATGGAGTCTTAATCTAATGCTTAGTCTCAAACAGAGAGGCAGGCGGGGCACAGCCTAACAATGCCCGGGACTTCTCGTCTACAATGAGAGCTGAAAATGGGAACTTAAAGAAAGAACATATCTGCATTTTTGTGCGAGTAAATGTGTTACTTTGCACTTAACCACATAGAGGCCATTTTAATCTGAGATGAAACAACAGATGCTATGTGTGCATCCTCATCTAATGTGGTTATTTAATATTGTACATGTTCAGATATGACTTGTAAATGCATATTGATTTTCACAACTAGGTTTGAGCCAGGAGTCCCTCAAGCAGTTGGTATGCTGAGGTTTAAATACCTGGACAGCTGGCTCCACAGGCATCACTGTCCCAAATAGATCTGATAAATACTTGTATGCTTTAGGATTTTTGAAGGCCGGTACTGCCAACTCTTTAATCAAAGCTGCAGATAATTTTGTGCCAAATTTCAGTATTTTTAAAACTGACATTTTTCATCTTAAAAGCTTTTAAGGAATTCCAAATAGTCCGTGTGGAAAAGCCCCTGAAGCAGCATTTCATGCAACGCGACTATTTTAAAACAAATGCTTCTATTCAGAGTATCTCATTAGAATCCGTTCAACAAGTGTGGTATTGATTCATTCTTCAATAAATGTGTAATCAATTAAGCTGCATGATAGCCACAATATCAGATCCATCACAGTGAGTGGGCCCTGTCTCTCATAATTGCTGCTGTTGATACAGTATTTACAGTGGAACTCCTACTCATCCTTTAATAACATTGTCTGTTCATCTCAAACCATATTTGTTGTAATCACAATATTGATTGTCACCATCTCTCTGTTTTGTAAGATAAGGTTTTTTGTTTTCCTCACTTCACACCCACGGGCACTATTTGATTTGTTTATCTTAGAATCATACAAATATATGCAAGTTAACCAGAAGACACTCTCTCTTTGTGTGTGTCTTTAGGAGTTGAGTTGTCTCCATTTTAAGTAACCCTTCCCGCAGTCTTTGAGTCTGGGCTTGACACGGTGTGTTGTGTAAAGCTGTCCACTGGTGCGATGTGGAGAGAATGACAGTATGCGTAATCCTCTATCGCTCATTTCTTGTGTAACGGGCCTGTCGGTTTTTAGCTGAGGCCGATTGGCTGGTTGGTTGGCTTAATGGCTGTTTTGCTGCCTGGCTGATGCAGGTAACTCCCATTGGAAGCGTCTGATCTCTCCAGGGAGAGCTGCACAAACATAACTGCTTGATGCAACATTTGCTTTCTCCTGTATTACCCTCAGTTGCTCCTCTGAATTAATAGTTTAACATTAAGCGGAGTGCATAGTGAAACTGATGTTCTGTGATGTTTTGCGCAATTTTGAAAATGAATGATATTCTTCCCACAAATATCTAAACCCTACAATAAGACTACCCCTAACACTTTCATTCTGTTTTTAAATATCTTTATTATTTATTTCATTATCCACATTCTCCACATGCAAATGCCTCTCATAAATGGAACTACTATACTACTGCTAATACAACAACTGTGACTACTTTTAATGAAAGCCTATCCCACATTTCCAAAGTCGGTCTGATTTATTATATTATATATATAATGTATAAACATTTCACACAGCACTATTTCCTGTGTTAGAGTGTATTTGTGAAAGAGTATAGCCACCGTTGCGTCATATATACAAACTGCATTCAAATTCAGGCCCATATCTGCCTGCAAGGCTCACAGCTGCCAGCCAGGATTTTACACCACAGTTTGTCCTTAATATCACACTCAGTCCCAGTATGACCATTAGCAATTGATTATTGGTTTCTAATAGTAGTTAACAGAGCAACTACAGAGGCTTGTACAATGTTACACATGATATAATAAGGACCATAGCATGACCTTAAATGATGGTCTCACTCTAAGCTTCACACAAGCTTCACGGTAGCTTCATAAACACGCTGTGAGAGCTAAAGGAAAGGAAAATACAAGACTAAAAGTTAACAACGTTGCCTTGAGCTAAATGCTAACGCTAGCATGCTTGCTTACAGTGACACTGATGCTAACGTTTAGCAGGCATCTTTACCATGTTCACCGTCTTAGTTTACTCTATTAGCATGCTAACATTTGCTAATTAACACAATGTGTAAAACAAACTGAAATGCCTCAGTAATGACGCTAAATGAAAAGTGAAGGGATCGCCAAAGTTATTAGAATTCCTCCTGACACTGATTGAATTGAATTTAATGGCAGTTCATTCAGTAGCTGTTGAAACTTTTAACGCGGTAACACCTCATGGTGGCGCTAGAGGAAAAGTCAGGAGATCACCAACATCAGTAGGTTTCATTCTCAGGGTCTGTACACATTTTATTTTAGTCTGAACCAAAATGGTGGACTGCACCTTCAAAATAAGAGCTCCAATCTCTGTCATACAACAAAATGAATAAGTATTAAGGAAAAAAACCTGTGAAATGAATAAACACGAAAAAAACTTTTTATACATATATATATTATGTCAAACTGAAGCTAACTTTCACAGTGTAATAGGCTATCTTACCCTGTAGGCTTACTGAAAACCTGCTCAGTCTCATTATCAGGAAGTAAAACCAAAAAGGTGGTCTGCCATACAAACACTGACCACACCATTCCCAAGCCAATGGAGGACAGTTTCCGTTTGTTATAAAAAAAAAACTTAGGTAGAAAACTTAGAAGTCTTCACTTGACATCAATTTGTTACCATTAATATCCCGCTGACATTATGTAGCCCATTACCGGGGCAGGTTGTCAGCCTGACGTTCATTCCAGTGTAGGTGCTGCATGCTTCCAGATGTCGATCTGGTAAATCCACTACTGTCTAAACACACACAGCAACTGGTGCAGATCAGGTTGTGTCGGTGAGTTTATTGCAAACAGGCGGTTTTTAGGAATGCTGCTTGTTTACCAACAGGATGCCGCGATCTGGTTTTCTTAAGCCCACCTGCACCAGAAGGGAAAATGAAGCAGAAGAGTTTCTCCCCCTTGTTTTGCTGCATTTAAAGTCTTTCAGAACATGATTTTCATTCACATATCTTGGATGTCATTCACGTAGTCATTCAACTAATATTTTCCTATTTTGACCTTTATGTGTGTCATCTATGTAGGTGTGATCTTTTTTCTTTCTTTTGCTTCATATTTACAAAGAAACACTTGCTGATGTCATTTCTAGTAGCTGCTTTCATGAAATGGGCTTTTCCAGTCAAACCTATGGAGATAGCTGTTTTCAGCCTTTAAAGACACTAGAATTAGGTGATTTTTTTTTTTTTTTTTACTGGTACTTGAGCACAGCGATTGGATCTGCCAACCCTTTAGTGGGAGATGTCTTTGACTTTTAATGTTTTTAAACTGAAACATCTGTCAAAACAGAGGAAAAAGTAACTCAGATTTTCTTGAGAACGCACTGTTTCCCACATACAGATACACAGACCTGATGAATACCTACACATGTTGTGCGTACTGTTGCACACACACCTACATTTGCAGTGTACAGTGTAGATTTTTTTTTGGGGGGGTTAGAGTGTAACTATACTAGCAGATTGTCTCTGTAGGACTATTGGATGAATGTTAAGAGAGTGGATCCCGGCCAATTTCCTGTGCTGTGGTTACACTGCAAAGAATATCTGTCATAACACGCCGTGTATTCTGGTATTGAGTGTTTCAATCATTCTTCCTTAAAGAAAGTTTGACTGAGAAAACAGCAGACAGAGCTAATAACCAGAAAGACACATTTGTTTTTTGTACGCATCTTCTCATCAGACAGTGCTGATCAATAGTCCGAAATTCCTAAAATGATGGACGTTTTTCTGCAGCGCGCAGCCCACGGCCTGCATCTCTCTCTCTTTCTT